GAGAAGCAGCAATGCATCGTCACGCAGGACCGCTAGTTCCTCGGCAGGTTAACTCTTTCAACCGGATGATAGGTGAGCCTGTTGTTCCCCACCAGCCGCCCTTGCTCACGATTAACGGTAGCCTGTGTTATCGAGAGAGGGCATTTGCAATCATCAGGGACCCCATCCTGCACCCCTCACTGGCCTGAGGTTTTGACTGAGTGAAGGGGGCCCCAAATCAGTCAAAAGCAACATGGTGTTCTGGACTGGACAGCCCCATTATAAACTAAGCAAGTATCCCAGGCATCACCCACCAGTATTACTGTGTGGGAGCTGTGTAGTTTTTTTTGTTTTGTTTTTAAACTCAGACTTTAAGGCCAGAAAGGACCATCATGATAATCTAGTCTGACCTTCTGCACATCACAGGTCACAAAACCTCACCCACACACACCTGTAATACGCTCATAAACTGTGGCTGAAGTCCTCAAAACTTGGTTTAAAGACTTAAAGTTACAGAAAATCCACCATTTATTTTAGTTCAAATCAGCAAGTGGCCAGTGCTCCACACTGCAGAGGAAGGAGAAAATCCCTGTCTCTGTCAATCTGACCTAGGGGGAAATTCCTTCCCAATCCCAAATATGGTAATCAGTTAGACTCTGAGCATGTGGGCAAGACCCACCAGCTAGATGCCTGGGAAAGAATTCCCTGTAGTAACTCAGAACCGTCCCCATGTAGTGTCCTATCTCTGGCTTTTACAGATATTTACTAATAGCAGTCATGAATGAGCCATGTGCCGTCGTAGGCAGTATAATGAGTCTCATTATACCATCCCCCCATAAACTTATCAAGCTCAGTCTTGGAACAAGTTAGGTTTTTTTGCTCGCACTGCTCCCTTTGGAAGGCTGTTCCAAAATTTCACTCTTCTGATAGTTAGAAACCGACATCTAATTTCAATTTGCCTTTAATTTAAATAATCCTCTACCTCCCTGGTGTTCATCCTTTTGATATATTTGTAGAGAGCAATCATATCTCCCCTCAGCCTTCATTTGGTTAGGCTAAACAAGCCAACCTCCTTAAGTCTCTTCTCATAAGGTAGGTTCTCCATTCCTCTGATCATCCTAGTAGCCCTTCTCTGAACTTGTTCCAGTTTGAATTCATCTTTCTTAAACAAAGGAGACCAGAATTGCGTGCAGTATTCCAGATGAGGTCTCACTGGTGCCTTGTACAATGCTACTAACATGTGCCTATCTCCCCTGGGAATGCCTTGCCTGATGCACCCTAAAATTGTATTAATCGTTTTCGTGGACACATTGCATTTTTTAATAATCCAGCTCAATTTTAATTCCCCTGCCCTTATTAACAAACATTGCACTTGCACATAGAAGTCTGCTGGGACTAGGAGTAGCTTTTGCTGGAACTACAGTTAGAAATTGTCAAGCCCGCATCACTATCTAGCTAAAACATCTCATTAGCAAATTCTGTGTCTTAAACATTCTGGCTCAAATTTACTGGGCCAGAAAATATTTGTAATTTCATAAACAAACAATGAAAAAAAATATTTAAAACTAACAATAATATCACTGAATATTTACCTAATGAGGTTGAGGCCTTATTGCTTACACAGAAAGAGAAGAAATAATGAGACTTTTGTGTGAAATAAATTCATTTACGACTATAAATACCTCCATTAACAAGGAACATAAGTGGACTTTCCCCCTCTTTTACTCCTTGCTCCTTTTCCAACCCCTCATTCTCCCACTCCCCACCCTCTGGTATTTCCCAGCTGTAGTCAGTGAAAGACAGAGCTGTCATATTTGTCACCTATTTTTTTTCTATTAAACAGAATAAAGCATTGAAAAACTCATCTCCTCTCACAACCTTTCTTTGCTATTGTGTTGGATCCATTCAGAGAGTTAGGAACCGCCCCAGTTGTTCCATTAGCACAGAAGCAGTTCTGCCATTCCCACTATTCTGTGTAAATTTAATTTGAGCAGCTGACATTCCATGAAGAACTTTCGAAAACATTCTATTTAGTCATTTAGTCATACTACACATAGTCAAACCTCTTAGCGAATCAGGACACAGAAGCTACAGTGAGTGTATTACTCAATGAAATGATGATCTTGCACAATAACATGCTGTCCTGCTGAATAAAAGATTGATGACATCATCCCACCTTCCTCTCCTCTTTCCCCCAGTTTCTCCTATTCATGTGTAAATCACTCCAATTTCTTTCCTTCCATCCTTGTACCTGTCCCCTAGTGTTCTTGGCAAACAAATAAACTTTCCCTTTCTATTTCTTCCCTTCTTTCGACTTGTTTTAAAATCCCAGCTCTCCATAAGAAATGAGAAGACAGAATAAAGGCTGGAGGTTAAAAATGTAAAATAAAACACTTGTTACTTTTTGTTGCTTTATTTTTATATTGTGCTTTGGATTTGTTCTGTCTTTTCACACTGCTTCCAGCAACTCTTTACAATTAAATTTGGCTCTCAGCAGCAGGGCTGTGCATCTCAGAATTCATAGTTAGGTATAAAATGGAAAAAATACTAAGGGATCCTTATGGATATAGAAAACCTCCAGGAAACAAAAACTGGTTAATATTGTAACTAACAAATCAACCACATCAAACTATCAAAAGCCTAGAGATTCAGCATGTATGAGATATTTTTTCTTGATGCAAACATTAAATTCTCATTAGTATTAGGCACTGCATGAAGGACTATGACTGAACAAATTAAGGACTAAGGTCCCAATCCTGCATATTTATATAGTGTTGAACTTCAAGTATGTGTGTATAGTCCCAGTGACATCCTGTTTGCAGGACCAAAGCCTAAATTAGAATGCTCCTCTTTCCCCCATTTCCACCATTGTTTCTTAAACAGACATTTGAACATATATTTCTTTCTGTACAAATAAGAAGAAAATACATTATTTCATGTAAGAGTATATATTAATTGTCCAAGAAACCATTATAGATCTCACTGGTAAATCTGGATCACAAACACGTATTTAGGAATTTGTTTAGAGTACATCATTTTTGGAATACACATTTTATGTATTGTAGTACACATTATTTATCAGATGGATTACAAGATCTTGGCTATCAGGTGAATATGTATTTTGTGCCCTATCCTCATTTTGAAATGGCATATTTATTTGATACACTGTAACTGAGCCAAAAAGTCATTATGATACATCGTGTAGGATCTGTACTTGAGCATTTTAAAAAATGTTATTGTTAAGGGATGATTTAATGGCCTAGGGACAGTGTT